AGTAAGACCCAGCTCTCTCAAGTGAACAGATACCAATGCATAGCAATTAAGGTCACAAACAATTAGGGAAACATGACACCACCAGAGAAATAAAGCAGTAACTGACCCTAAAGAAACTGACTGACAAAGGACTTGAAATAATCATTTTAAGGCAGCTCTGTGAGCTTCAAGAAAATATACAGAAATAATTCAATGAAATCAGGAAAACAACAAGGAGAACAAATTTATACATATTTCTAAAAAAAAAAATTCTGAAGCCTAGAAATACAATGAAGTTAAAATTGCACTAGAAGGTGTCAGCAAAGGTTCACATATTTTTTCTCGTATGTGGAATCTAGGAAAAAAAGACAGACATAAATGTATGTGAGAGACTATTAGTGAATAGCAAAGGGAGTGGGAAGAGGATCTGAGGAGATTACAGAGAAATAAAAATGATAAAAATATGTTAAGTGCACATATGAATATGCCACAACAAAATCCACTATTCTATAGAATTAATATGCTCTATTAAAAAAGGGAGTGAATATTTAAGAGTAGTGCCTGTTAGCAGCAGATGAAAGAATTCATCTCTTATCAGATCCTTTCTACAAAAAAAAGTTAAACCCCGTAGGCATAAGGAAAATTCTTACAAGGTAAAATATAAATCTACACGGGAATGAAAAGTACTGAAACCGTTCACTGTATGAGTAAATATAAGATTTTTTCTTATTAAATATCTTTAAAATTGTTCAAACAAAAAAAATGGGTCATAGCCGGGCACGGTGATGAATGCCTGTAATCCCAGCAAATCGGGAGGCTGAGGTGGAGGCAGGAGGATTGCAAGTTTAAAGCCAGTCTCAGCAACTTCATGAGGTCCTAAGCAATTTAGCAGCGAGACCCTATCTCTAAATAAAATATTCAAAAAGGGCTAGGGATGTGGCTTAGTGGTTAAGCTCCCCTGGGTTCAATCCCCAGTACCAAAAAAAAAAAAACCCAAAAAGTTGTTATACATAAAGTTGTAAAATATGACTTGAAGGCTGATGGTGCTAAGTATAATGATAATGATACCATTAAGGTTTATGATATACCTCATAAAAATAACATAAAAAAGGTATAAAAATAACAAAGAAGCAGAAAGGAGATAAAATGGAACCACAGATACTCAATCCAAAAAAGACAGGAAAAGAAGAACAAAGAACAGATAGAATAAAGAGAAAACAAATAACAAGATGGTAGACTGAAACCTAACCAAATCAATAATCATATGTGAATGGAATACATACCCAATTAAAAGCAAAGATTGAGAGATTCAGATTGCAAAAATAAACAAACAAAAATCTAGCTAAATACTCTTATTAAAAGCATACTTTAAGTATAAAGACACAACAGGTTAAAAATAAAGGGATGGGCAAAAAAGACATATCATCCTACCACTAATCAAAAGAAAGCCGGAATGCTCATTTCAGCAGCACATATGTTAAAATTGGAATGATACAGAGAAGATTAGCATGGCCCCTGCGCAACAATGACATGCAAATTCATGAAGCGTTTCCACATTCTTAAACCCCAAATTTAAATAAATAATAACAAACAATAAAAACAGAAATTTGGGGAAAACACATGCACACAAAGAAAAAGCTGGAGTTTTATCAATATCAGATAAAGTAGATTTTGGACCAAAACATATTATCAGAGATAAAGACCATTTATATAATGATAAAGGGGTCAAAACATTAAGGTAATGTAACAACCCAAAATGTCCACCAAATAACACAGCTTCAAAATACATGAAGCAAAAAATAGATAAATCCTCAATTAGAGATTTCAATACTCTTCTCAATAATTAACAAGTACACAGAAAATTGGTAATGATAAAGAAAACTTGAACAACATTATCAAATAATTATGTCTAATTCAAGTCACGAACAGTCCACCAATTAACAGCAGATAATACCCACCCTCATCTCCTTTTTTCCTAAGTACTCACAGAATTTTTACCAAGAAAGATCATGTTATAGACCATAATATAAGTCTCAACTTTAAAAAGATTCAAATAATACACGGGCACATAATGGAATAAAATTAAAAGCCCAAACCAAAAACTTCATCTAGAAATCTTCAAAGAATTTGGAAACTAAATAATACACTCCTCAATAACCCATGGGACAAAGAAGAAACCAGAAGGGAAACTATAAAATATTTTGAACTGAATGCAAATGAAAATACAACATACCAAAAATTGTGGGATTCTGCTGCTGCAATACATAAGAAATCAGATTTTTGGAAGTTATACTAAACTCCCTAAAACCAAAACACAAACTTATTTTAGATCCAGAAAAACATTTTAAAAATGTGTGTTTTATGGGTTAATTCAATAAATATATGGTGACAACTTAAGGGAGGCTCTATTCTGTGCCCTAAAAATAAAATAAATAATACAAATAAGACCCTCTACTCTTATATTGCATCAAAGGGTACAGATAATAAATACAAACACTAAGAAACTTGCAGATAATAACAAACTACATTAAGAAAATAAAACAGTAATTTAAAAGAGAAGTAGTCAGAGAAGTACTCTGTAAATAGATATGAGCTGAAACCCGAATAAGGACAGCAGATCATGCAGATGTAAACCCAAAGGAACAGTATCATAGAGAGATAAAGTATGAAGGTCCTAATGTGGAAGGCATATGCTCTAGATGTCTGGAGAAAGTTAAGTGAAGGAGGTAATATAGGAGAAATATTAGTAAAGATATGCATGAAAAAGATAAGCACTCAAGCTGGAGTATAGGTAGCTGGGTAAGGACTGAGATTTGGCTAGAAAGGTACAGGTGGGTCAAGACCTATACTGTCAACATGGCAGCCACCAACTGCATGTGACTCTTGAGTACTTAAATTTGGGCCAGTACACCTGAATAACCAGTTTTAATCTAATTTGACTTACTTTAAATTTTTAGAACTATTTCAAGTACATTGGGAACTGTTTCAACTATGGGTTTTATAAAATCTAAATATAGATCAAATATTTCTAATTTGGTTTTCTATTATAGAACATTATAAGAGGAATAGCAAGCTAATCTTTTGAGAATCTTTTCAGTACAAAAAAAAACATAATTGTTGTTAATATTCTGTCATTATCTGACTCTTTAATACTTATTAGCAATTTTTCCTGAGTTGTAGACAAATGAGATGTTAGGTAGATCTAAAAAACTGCAATATGTCTGAATGTTCTATAGGTATCTCAAACTCAAAATATCCAAAAACCCAGTTTATCATCTTTCCTATCCAATATATTCTTTCTCATCTATTCTTTAAATGTTGGGAATTTAGATTTCCCACTTTAGAAAACCTGTTATGAATTTACCCCTGAATATCCACTAATAATCATCTTTCCCATTTGCTTCTTAAGTATTTTCAAATCCTTTATGTAGTATTCATTCCAACAAACCCTAATTATTAGTTTGTTACCAGAACTCTTTGAACCAGGCAACACTGAACTTCAAATGTGATCTACAAAAATTTCCATGACATGCTCATGGCCTACCTTTCCCATTTCTATTTATTGACTTGGACTTAAGTGATTTGGCCATAAGAAACCACTTGTGGTTTATACAGGCAGTAAATTATTTCACACATCATAGTTCATGTATTATGCCTACTCATAGCAGAAAAAGTAAACTTAAGTACACAGGTTCTACTGGTTTAAAAAACTAAGAATCAACAAAATGGGTCTATATTACTATCTACACCAGAGGTTCTTAGGAATAGAAACTCAATCTACCCATAAAATCTCCTTGGGCTTACAGACTAAGAATGAGCATACTGCACATTGTTTCTTTAAACCACAACTTCTGGTTCCTAATTATTCTCAGTTAAGTACCTGTTCTTGAGCATCCTTCCCAAAAGAGGGGCTGGCAAAATTCTGCTTGATTTAGTTAGCATCCTTTGATCAGCCATCTGGAAGAAGTGACTTGCCAAGATAGGTCTAGGAAAAAAGGGTGAAGAAGCCATGTAGTTGACCTAAAGTAATTTGATATCACCAAGAGCAAGGAGTGAAAACTGCAAGGTCAATTTTACTAAAGGAGATATTCTAGGCACAGGACAAAACAAAACACTGTTCTCTTACAAATCACAACTTGTAATTCAAACTGTGAATACAAGACAAGAAAAATGTAAGGTCCAATATCAGGCTTCAAAATATTCATAAGACATTCAGGAATCTACATACCAATGAGTATGCATATGAATTTTATTATGACACAGGTTCCACACATTAGATTTCAAGATCTCATCCCTACAAGCTCTCCTCTGAGGGATCAAGGGAAAAGAGACTTATCATTATATCTATTCTTAAGAGATGCTTAATAGGCATACTGAATTAAAATACAGCTTAGCTATTTTCTTATCTATTCTTATATTCTTTCTATTAAGATGCATATGATATTTCTCTGTACTCCCAGAATCCCCCCAGCCTAGTTCTTTTTTACTGTTATTTTCCATATATTTTTTAATCTGACCTGTGTTCATCCTCTAAATTGACCAGCTTAAGGATTGAGCTTTGTGTTTTCATCCATGTTCCTCTAACAAAAACAGTACCAACACTTATTAGCAATCCTAAGTCTACCATGTGACTAATAAATCCAGGCTTCTTGCTACTCAAAGAAGCTTGCCCAAGAACTGTTTGTTATCGATTTAGGACAAGATAGAGTTTGACCCAGAATGTATGTAGGAAAGAATTTTTCTTTTGTGAGAGAGTTGTTCTTTGAAAAAGTATCTAACAATTAGAAAACGCTTAATGATACAATTTATACTCTTGCCCACTTTGAGCCAAGGTGAGTAAAGACACTTTTATGAAGAAAAGCAAGATCCTGAAGAACGCATGGTTAAAACTAATAACTTTAGAGTCTTCATCATGAATGTAGATTCCCAAGTAAAATAGATTTAAAATAAAGGCATATGTTTTCACTGGTAAAAATAAAGACGCGAGGCACTTAAAAAACTTTTTTAAAAGTGAAGACACATTAAAAAAAAACCTAATAAATTTTTAATTAGGATGTGTTCTGTCTCTCTTTTTTTTTTTTTTTAAACAAGACAAGTAACAGATTACATCAAACTTCAGAACTTCTCAAATATCTAATTATACACATTCCCATCTGTCTTGCAGGGAGGAATCTTGGTCGGCTTAACAGTTTCAGGTAAAATAAGCTGCATAATAGCATATATTACAATAATAAATGTACAATGTTTACATGAAATGTTTTAGAAGCAAGAAAAAGATGCATCTGCATCAAAAGGCGACCTGTTAGAATACCACAACTGTTTTTTTGTTTTTTACATTCACTCTTGCAACAGGTTACAAGATGGGGTCACTAAGCTCAGATAAATCACTATGATGCACATAAAATACAGAAAGATTGGTTAATTTATATATTATATATTTATATTTCACACATTAGCATCTGAGACATAAACTGAGAATTTAAAACTTATTCTCTTCAGATAACAAATTAATTTTTTATTCTTCATAAACATGGTGCCCACAAAAGCACATAGGTAAGGCACAATAGGATTTTCTGTTACAGAATAGTGTGCATCATGTTTACTTAACCAGAAAACGTGCATTATCTGTGCAAGTTCATGCTGCAAACCCAACACATATATAATAAAACAAAAAGAAATTGAACTTTAAACAAAATCAAAATTGGTACAATTCCAGCTGTTGCACATATTCATCTGGACTGACAATGATATATCAACAGATTATTTTTAAAAAGCCAGTTGTTACATTACAAATAAACCTTGCTTAGCAACTATTTTAATCTGAAATCATAACAGTAATAAAGCAACTTTATTAAAACAAATTAAATACTGAGGCACAAACCAATGGTCACTCTTGCATTTACTATATTGCAATCTTTCATGACCCCAAATTCCAAGTATAATTTGTCTAATACATTTTGCTGCAACCATGTGCCCTGCTTTAAACTTGACATATAACAGGGTGCTATCGTTTCATTAAATTATAAATAGATTGGAAAAAATACTTAATCCCAATAGTACTATGTCACAGCCCTATTAATTAACAATAAATACAGCTTTTCACAAAATATTTTTCTAATATCTGCCAATTGCTTCTTTATTGCTCACATAAATTTGAATCCATTACAACTGGTGTCAGAACTTTCACACAAAATCATACTCAGACATTTTTATATAAAATCTATAAAAGATATTTTAAACTTGTATCTAATACTTCCAGGTGTTTGGCTGTTTGATCTATGTGATAGTACAGCCATATGTATCTATGTGTGTGTGTATATATACACACACACATACACACACACACAAATTAGATTATGAATAAAATAGAAAGCTTATTTTACTGCTTATGCAGACATCCTCACAAAACAAGACTACTTTCACACCACCACCAGCATTTATACATATTTACAAAAGCCAGTTTAAGTACATGTACATCCACTTACACATATATGTAACCATTAAAACCAAATAAATTTTCCCATATTCCAGCTGTAGCAAATAAATCTCTTACAAGCAATAGAAACCTAAGGTTAAATTGGGAAATTAACAGTTTTACCACATTAGCTTGTAAGGAATTATGCAGGTGACTGTATACAAAAATTCACATTAGTTCACAAGAAATTATGGAAATACAAGAAGCCTCTTCACCATGCTTTTGTGTGGTTATCCAAACACTTCTTGGTGCAAAAATATAACCACCATATCTGAAAATGCTTAATAAAGTCAGAGTTCCTCATGCAAAACTTTAAATGCACTGGCTTAACTGAGCTCCTAAAACTGAATGAAACAATTATTCTACATACTCAGCATTGCTGCCTCACTGCTAAATCCCTTTGGAACCTTAAGATTTCTGGAACTTTCAAACAGAGCTGTACTCAGCAATAAAAATATTACATACAAAAAGCATTTAAAAAGGAAGACAGGAAGCCAAACAGGAATTTTCCTATTGTAAATAACAGTCCTAGGAGTGAAGAAAGTCCTTTCAGGAACCTCCTTGAGAATTGGCTAGGCCAGTCCGAAGGCGAAGATGAGACATAGAGTTCATATGTTTATTTGATGGCTTCAAGGGAGTGTTGCAAGTAAGAGCTTGGGGAAAGCGATGGTGATATCTATCTAGTCGTAAATATTTTACTGTAACCAACTTCCCTGTTGTAAGATAAAAATAATATTTTAGATCTGTAAAAATGTCTTTAATATTGCTAGAAAAGTTAACTGTGGTAAAGTCATATGAACACAAAATAATTTAAAATTATTACTTAAAAATGGTAACCTAAAATACTTCAATTTAAAATCTCGTATAGTTTAATCATCTTTTCAAAATTTTTGTAATACACGAATTTCTTACCATCAAACCAAGAGCCATGTAATGCCTTAAAAGCCTTTCCAGCATATTCTGGAGACAGACATTTAACATATACACAACCCTATGATATTAAAAAACAAAAAAGAAAGAAATGTTTTAGTTAAACAGCAACAAATCCAAAACATGAAATTCAATACTTGAAGCTACGTTACCTCACGTGAATTTTTGTCTACTGCAATGTGAACAATGCCATCATTGTCACTGCATTTTTCTAAAATTGCTTCTTGAATTGCCAGATGCCACTGATCCCCTATTTCCCTAAAAATTAGTAAAACAAAAAATTAACAACTATATTCCTACTCAACTGAAAATCTCATTATTTCAATCACAACAGTACAAATGAGTCATTTTTATATTTAAAATCCCATGCACTTGCAAGTTGTTTCTTTTTTCTTTCTAGTGTTAACTCATTAAAGGTGCAAAAGTTGAATATCATTTTCTTTATTTTTAATGACATTTTTGAGTTCTTGAATTTAAGAAAAGTCTTAGTAAATACTATATTGAGCTTCTCTTTTCCAAAATAATGGAAGAGTGATACAGGACAAACATTTTACATAGCTACCTTATTATAATGAGAACTTTAAGATCTCTTGCTATAGTAATGCACTTTTGTCTTACTTGTGAGACAGAAGAAAAGTAACTTCACTTTAAATCATAAATCTTCATTTTAGGTAATGAAGTAGAGGGCTGGCATTGACTTCCTCATTACTAAGGCATGAGGTCAGAGTTCCTACAGAGGTATTATCACACTGCTACTGTTTATATATATATATTTACAAAACAGAGGATGCATATACATACATTCATGTATAGACTGACAGTACTTTCCAACATTTCCATTTTGCTGTCATCTATTTGAAATCTCATCAATAATTTTTTAAATAAATGAATTATTAGACTGGATCTGGAGTATTTTATATGTAATGCAGATTCTACCATTAGAATTTTAAAAACAATTTAATCTGTCAAACTGTTGAACAACTAACCTCCAGAAAGCTAATTCTAAAAATTCTGTGGCTTAATATGTAAAATATTATAAATTCTAAGGCAGCAACTTCTGACTCTGCTATTCTCTGGATGTGTTTATTGCTATAATTGTAGTCAAAAAAAGTTCTTCAAATATTACATTGCAAGGAAATGTAGGCCCTAAAGAAAGGAAGGTATGTACAACTTTGTAGGAAATATTTTTATAATTGGACACTGGAAATTTTATTAAAAAGGCTCATATATGGATGTGTAAGTGTAAAGATATAAACTAAACACACACACACACACACGCACACATAAACCCACTGAAACAAAAAATGTTGACAGTCATCTATAAAATGAATTATACATTTAATAAAGGATGTTGTTTGTCATTGTGTGTCAATTCCTCACATTTATGTGCTACAAGGCTTCACAATAAATACAAAGATTTAGAAATGTTTTACAAATCTCTATACAACTATTTCCTGGTTAATCCTTTGCTGGGAATTTAACAAAAGAGAAAAGCATTAAAATTTCTATAGTTAGGAATTCAGAAGGAAACAGATTTTTCAATTATAGGCACAGCATTATAAGAATGCCATGCAACTTTCGGCAGCAGCAAGGTGAGGTCTGGCCTTGCAGAGGACATTGGATTTAATCGTTAATTTCAGCGCTTCCACATTCCTTAATCTCCAACCTTCTCAATAAAATGATTTGACACACACACACAAAAAAGAATGCCATGCATTTTTTTAACCAAACATTGCCATTAAAATTACATGTGATCGTAATACTTACATAACTGGATCAAACATATTTCGAATCTTTAAACATGGTGTCAAACTATTTGGCGGTGAATTTCTTCTATCTAAATGAAATGCTATAAAAAATAAAGTTTGTTTTACTATTGGCCATTGTTTCATTTTGTTGAACATTTTCATTGTTTAATTCAAAAATATTCATTACATAGTTATACTATGAACCAGACCCATGTTAGATGCTACAGTGAATTAACAGAGTCCTTGCTGTCACAGAGTTTACAGTGCAGTGAGAGACATAGATGATAAACAGTGTCATCCAAGACATAACTGTGATTCGTCCTAAGACAGTAGAGCACAAAAAGCTGTAAAAAATAAATAAATAAATAACTTCACCTCATTTGGGAATATCAGATAAGATTTCCCCAAGGAATTGAAATTCATGCTGAGCACTAAAGAATAAAAAAAAATTAACAGGGTAAAGATAAGTAAAAGGACATCTCAAGAAGTGAAGATAGCTTTTACACAGGCTTTGTGACAAGGAACCTGATATATTCAAGTAACCAAAGGCAGTTAATGTGGCAAAGTGGAAAAATTTAAAAGATAAACTTGGAGAGGTAGACGTCAGATTATTCAGGACTACCTAGGCCACACTCAAGTACTTCAACATTGACACAGAAATAATAGTTATTCAAGTGTTTTAAGCAGTGGAACAATATGACAGCATCAATCCTTTAAAATTGTAATAAAAAAATAGTTTATTATATGAGGAATCAATCAGGCAAATGCAAAAAGGAATACTAGGAGACTGTTTAAGAAGGTCATTGTTGTCTAGGAAGGAGATGACAGTGATGTAGGTAAGACAGGCGAACAGTGCAGATGGAAACTAGATGGAATCAGGATATATTAAAGAACAGATATGACTTGCTAGTTGAAAGAATAAACAAAGGCGGATAGGGGGAGATTAAGAATGACTCCCAGGGGCTGGGGATGTGGCTCAAGCAGTAGCGTGCTCGCCTGGCATGCGTGCGGCCCGGGTTCGATCCTCAGCACCCCATACAAATAAAGATGTTGTGTCCACCGAAAACTAAAAAATAAATATTAAAAATTTCTCTCTCTCTCTCTCTCTAAAAAAAAAAGAATGACTCCCAGGTTTATGGCTGAAAACATGAGGAATGTTACTAATAACTAGACTAAAAATATTCAGTTCAATATTCATGTTCAATTTGTGGTTCCCATCTCCTAAAAAATAAGATTAGTATAAACCTCAATACAATCTGAAAACCAGAACAGCAGACTTAGTCACAGCTGAGATTATTTAAGGAGTGAAGGTAGAGGACTGGGGATATAGCTCAGCTGGTAGAGCGCTTGCCTCGAATGTACAAGACCCTGGGGGATTCAATTCTCAGCACTACCAAAAAAAAAGTTAAGATAGAATGAGAAGATGGTCTTTAAAAACTCCAATGCCTAAAAGTCTAGGAAATGAGAAAGATTTGGGGGGGGGGGGGGAGGTTGCAGAAAAGGTCTTGATAAGAGGAAAAACCAAGGGGTGGGTGGGGGACGGCATCTCCTAAGTTCAAAGATAAAAGTTTCAAGGAGTGCTCAATTGTCAAACACTGGTAAGAGACTGAGTAAAGTAAGTAATTCTTTGTTTTCAATTACTTAGGGCCCTTCTGCATGAATCTTTTAAAAAGGAACAGTTTGTTATTTTAATTTTGGGTAACACCAAAGCATCACTTTCATACCATGATTAAAGAAGCTTTTATTCAAGCATTTTGAAAGTGAAAATTAGAGAAAAAAGGAGGGACTGGGTTTTCTTCCTGTAGTTTCAAAACAGGGTACTTACCTTTTCTAAGAATACAGTTTATCAAACATTGATAAATATGCTTTTGTAGAAAAAGAATTTACAATTGTGAATTTAGCATTCACAATTTTCTTATATATAATTTTCTGCTTTACTGTATGCAAGAGGTTTGGGTATATAAGGCAGCCAGTCTTAAACAAAAAAAAAAAAAAAAAAACCTCCTGTATGCTTATGTGACTGTTTTTGAAACTAAGCAGACAATATAAAAACTATGAAAAGATATCTACAAAAAAATAGGTGGCAGGGGGAATATACAAGTAGAGATGTATTAACAAGAAAGAAGAGGGAGACAAGCAAAAACTAGAAGAAAGAATAGTTTAAAAGGTTATGTTTCCACTTACATACATAAAATATGTAAGGTATGTATGTTTATGTCATACTTATAAATTATGTGTCTTATTTACATAGAGAAATTAGATGAAAAGAATGCAACTAGATCTATGATACTATATTGCTTGTTAAGTGAAAAGAGCAAGATCCAAGAAATGTTTGCCTTTATTACAGTAAAACAAATCATTTGTGTTTGCATTAGCAAGCACAAAAATGTGTAAGGATACATAACAAGTTTTCATGCATCTTTGAATTGTATGGTTTCAACTTAAACACATACTGTAGTTTTGAAAAATTATAAGAAAATCAATTTTATCCTTTTTTGTTTAAAGTACATACCTTGACCTTGCCATACTTTAGAAGGTATCACTAATATTTTATCACAGGATGCAGAAGGCTGGATCCACCGCCAAACTAGAAAATCTGCACCACCTATTCTTCGTGTTTCCGTGCGGACTCTAGACTCATTAGCAGCAAGGAAGTCAACGGCTCTATCCCAGACTTTCTTCATTTTTTTTCTATTACATGAACAAAATGACAAATTTACAAATTTATCTTGGCTTGTCATCTTTTTGAAATATTAGTAATTGAAGTATGGTTATTATGAAGTCTGGCTGTTCTTATCACTACTCAGAGTTTGTTTAAAAGCAGATAGTAGGTGCCTGTACCCCACTTCAGATTTACTGAATTTCAGTCCCTAGAGGTGATAAATGAGCATGTAGTTTTTTTTCTTCTTCTTCTTTTAATCTAAAACCTCCACTGGTGATTATAATGTGCTACTAGGTTACGAATGATGCTTTATATATGGCATCAACTTTTTATTTTCAAAAGTTTTTTTTTTTTTAGTTTTTATTTTAAAAACTAAATTAATAATAAAATAGGTATTTAAAAATATTAGTAAAACACCAGAGATTATTTCTGTTTTTTTTTTTCCTAAAAATTTACTCCTTATTGGTTTTTGGTTATACATGACAGTAGAATCCATTTTGACATAATTATAAAAGCATGAAATATATCTTGTTCTAATTCAGACCCTAGTACCTCTCCTTACTCTTCCCTCCCCTCCCCGTTCCCTTCCCTCAATTGATCTTTCTGCCATTTACCCATAGCTATTTTTTAAATTAATTTCTTATGGATGTACACAATGGTGAGATTAACTATGGTTTGTACATATTTCTGTTTCTTTAATAAAATGAAATTAAAGGAGATAAGATAGAAAGTGACAACAAAGAATCAAAAATGTACAGGAATGAGAAAAGCTTAGAAATCTAGTCATCTTACGTGTGACTGAAAATCAGGGGGACAACAAAAGAATTTAGAAAGAAAGAAGAGTATAAAATATTTGTAAAAAGTGTGCATAGTAAAATAGGTCTAGATAAGAAAGAGCCACAATTCTCAATATAATTTCCAAGACTACAGAAGAAACCTATATTCTGATTTACTTCAACTCAAAATGCTTTGAACACACCTGTCATGAGGCTGTATTAAGGAATCTCGCACATGAGGAATAGGCATGTAAGGTTGTAAATCCTTATTCTCCTGGCAAGCTTCATTATGACTTCGCAAAACATCTGAAAATAAATCAAACTTCAAAAATGAATCAATCACTTGACATGTTATATTATCATGTAATTGTTCTAGAAATAGTTAGTGGTTTTACAAATACTGTACCTATTATCTTTACCACCATATCATACATCTGCCTTGATTCCTCCTCCTCTTTTGTCCAGCGATATTTCATGTAACGCAGAACAACACAAACCATCACTACACCTGCAATATTCACATGTTTTGCAGTTTAACAATGTGGTCAATGGCATTTAATTACATTAGATAGTCTCTACAATGATTATCTTAATTGTACTAATGAAAAAATGCAAAGAGTCTTTATGACAGAGGGTTGAATTGGTCACATAATAAAAGTGCACAGAAAAAATTTTAATATTAAACATTTTCCAGAGTTTTCTCTAGAAAATGTCTTCTATTACCCTGATAACTAAACATTTAAATTCTATCTTTTTTTAAAAAAAAAAAACACAACTTTTTAAACATTTTCCAATTATAGCATTAAAGTACTTAACAGTTTTATTAAAGGATTAAACATGCTAAATCTTACTTTAACTGAATTATTTGTAAAGGGCTAAGAAAAAGAAAAAGCAAGGAATAAAATCTCTTAAATTCCTATTACCAATCACAAAATATAGTAATCTGAATACAAATTTTAAATCTCATAAACAATACTGTTTAAATAAAGAATAATTTCAATGAGCTTAATTTACAATATTTTATTTAAAAAGAAAACTTTTCTATTTTCTAAAGTAAATACACTAACTATTTCTGTAACATTCTTATGAAAAAGTTTTATCCCTACCTCTCTCTGTTACTGTTTTCTGAGCCCTCAGTCTGATATGACATTATAAAAAGCCCTCAATTTCATTTAGTGAACACTTCTGAATGTAATTTATATGACATCTATCACCAAAGTGACAAGTAAATTCTTGGCTCTGGCATTTAGTGAAATACAGACACACACAAAAATTCTAGAATGCAATATATCACTCTTCTTATCCTAACAACTTACCCAAGCATAACAACAATAACCTGTGTGTTACAGTAATAAAAGCACGTCGAAAACGACACCAGAAAGACATCTGTGGTCTTGTAGATTGTAAAAACAGCACATCAGTTATGTTTTTCAGTTCTTCCTCAGAGCTATAACCAACACACCTATTTAAAAATAATTAGAGTTGAGTTTAAGGTTAAAAAAAAAAAATCACTTCTTATACTATAAAACAAAGTGGAAATCAATTCCTCTACCTTATTCCAACATCTTTCCCATTTTCTAAAATCCACTGCAATGAGGTGTTAAATATATCTTCATATTCAGGACCTAAATCCTAACAAGAAAAAAAGAGAAAATAGCTATTTTTAATAATCCACATTCATTTGACTCTGACTCTACATAAGCTGTCCTATAAATAACACTCCATGTAACATTTTAACTATGTAACAAACATAACAAAAATGTATTATTCATTAAAGAAAATTTTAAAAAACAAAGAAATCATGATTTTCCCACTAATTCAATATAACTTGTTAATATTTTGCTATATTTTCTCCTTTTATATTTATAGACTTGGGAGTTCTTTTTTATAGTTTTGTTTTTAAGTGTCATTGTGATCAGAATGACTTAATTTTTAATGAAACGCCATTTTCATATGAATAAACAGCAAACAGTTCAGATGTGGCTATTTTATTTTTACAAATGAATGCATTAAGCATATGAACTCAAAAAACCTGTGTAAACAATGGACTCAAGCTTCCAAGAGAAAAGAATTGAGAAAAACTTGCATGGATCACTGTGTCCTTAACAGGTTTTATAGTACTTGTGACCTTTCCAAGATGATTGGTATGATATTAAAAATGTGACTTTTTGATATGGTATAATGAAATGTGACAACAACTGGAAGTCCTAACAACTCAGTATACCTATATTTTTCAAATAACCAATGCTTGAAATTATATAATCATACATGGGTAAAAGATTTATTCAAAGTACAAAGCACAAGCTGAGGTTGTAGATCAGTGGTAGAGTGTTTGTCTAGCACATGTGAGGCATTGGGGTCAATCCTCAGTACCACATAAAAATACAATAAAGGCATCGTGCCCACCCACAACTAAATAAATAAATGTATTTTTTTTAAAGTACAAAGCACTTCAAAGGATTTTATTGGGCACAGTACACAATGTTCACTAATATGCTTGAGACTCCAAATTAAAATCACCTTTAAGAAACTACTTGTGAGGTTTGCTATCCTATCAAAGAATACTTATAATTATCTGAAAAGACACATTTTCCCCTGTTTTAACTCCATACTGATGTAAGGCTGGATTTTCTTGATATACTTCAACAAAATAGCAACACAACAAACTGAATGCAAAAGTAGAAGAGAATCCAGCTGCCTTTTATTAAGCTAGGCATTAAAAAGATTTGCAAAATGGAAAACAATACCACTATTCTCATTAAACTATATTTTTGAAGATAGAATTATTTTTCATAAAATTATGTCTCACAATATTATGTCAACATGTAACAGGATCATTATTTTTATTCTAAGTGAATAAAATGATTTCATTTTTAATTCTAACGTAACTATATGTATATATTTATATCTAACATAATAAATGTATAAAATATATATTTATAAACATTCATCCACAAATGTAAATGTAAACACACATACACACACACACATAAATAGCCACTTAAGACTTCAGTAATTATGGAAAGTCCAAAAGTTTAAGATCTGCTATGTATGGGTATTTTTTAAATCAAAATATTGAAACTGGTATCACACATGCACTATTCTTCTACTTGCTTTTTCCATGGAACCAAGTATTATGTCAATATCAGTACACATGGAAAAACCCTAGGTTTTCCTACTCCATTGTATGATTACTCGAGACATAAATCAACTTCTTATTAATGAACATTAAGAGTATATTCTTTAAAAAGAATTTTTTTGCAGTCTTGGATATAGAAATCAGGACTTCCTGCACACTAGGCAATGTTCTACCACTGAGCTAAGTATCAGCCTGAATTTTAAATATATATATATATCTCAAAAAGTACTGTTACAAAAATCCCTGAAACATTTTTCACTCAACAAATATGTATTAAGGACTCACTATCTGTCAGGTACCATATCAAGAACTAGAAGTATAACACTAGGACAGTCAAAATTTCCTGTGCTTATGAAGTAGTCTACAAGAAAGTATGTCTCTCATGTATTAGATATGAGGAGTCCCCTAAAAGCTTATGTGTGAAACAATGCAAGAACCTTCAGATGTGAAATGATTACATTATGAGAGGTCTGGGCTACATTATCCACTGATACGGATTAACTGGGCGGTAACTGTAGGCAGGTAGGATGTGGTTGAAATAAGTAAAAGGGGGAGGTAGCCTTTAGGGTTTATATTTTATCTCCAGTGAGCAGAGCTCTCTCTCTGCTTCCTGTTCCTCCTCATACTTAGCTTATTAAAATCATAGGAGTTGTTAATTAATGAGTTTATTATAATAGCCGGTATATTTGTAAACTTCAAGTTACAAAAAACAAGGGGTAGGCTGGGGATATAGCTCAGCTGGTAGAGTGCTTGCCTCCAATGCACAAGGCCCCCAGCACCACAAAAAGAAAAAGAAAAATACAAGGGGTAAATAAGAAAAGAGTACTGTTATTTTCCCCCACTTCCTATTTTCTTTTCCCTATACTCAATATCCCCATCATCTGGAATATAATGGAATCATGGTATGTTACATATTCTTACAAAACAATTGACAAATTATTTAAAAACTTTAAAGAGTCAAAGGAGTGTTTAGGTCTTAACTATGCTATTTCTACAAATATTCTACATAGAGTCCTACAGCACTATAAAATAGAATTGCTTGATAAAACTTGAGGTTTTTTCCCTTGCTTATGCTAACTAAATACTTCATGCTACTATTGTAACATACATAGTATCTATTTGTATTTTAAGAACTTAAACTGTTTTATTGTTTACTTTATGTGGTCACTTTAAAAAGCTACAATACAGCAAGGTATGCCAACTACTTTTTTTCTGTAAATGGTTAGAAAATAAGACATTTAAGTTTTGTTGATAAAAACATGCCTCTTTGTTTGTAAAGCAACCTTTATTTATTTTTATTTTTTGGTGCTGGGAATTAAAAACCAGGGTGCTCTATCAATGAGCTAAATCCCAGGTCCTTTTAATTTTTATTTTCAGAGAGGATATCTGTAAGCTGCTGAGGGCTGGCCGCAAACTTTCAATCCTCCAGAATTGCTGGAATTACAGGCGTGTGCCACCACATCCAGCTATAAAGCAACCTTTAAAAATGTAAAGCCAGGGGCTGGGGTTGTGACTCAGCAGTAGAGTGCTCTCGCCTAGCATGTCTGAGGCCCTGGGTTGGATTCTCAGCACCACATAAAAGTAAATTAATAAAAAATAGGTATTGTGTCCAACTACAAAAAAAAAAAAAGTAAAGCCAGCCAGGCACCGTGGCACACACCTGTAATCCCAGTGGCTAGAGAGGCTGAGATAGGAGGATTGCAAATTCAAAGCCAGCCTCAGTAAAAGCATATAAATTTAGAGTATGTTCTCCCAAGTCTTAAATCTATTTATTTTATTACATTATGCACGTACATACACATATACCCATCCAGGATCCCCACTTCCAATGTACCTTATTTTCAAAATAACTGGTGAGCTGAGTGCAGTGGCACACACTAGTAATCTCAGTAACTCAGGAAGCTGAGGCAGGAGGATTGCAAGTTCAAAGCCAACCTCAGCAATTTAGTGAGACTCTAAGCAACTAAATGAGACACAATTTTATTAACTGTGATTAGAATCCCAAGCTAGTCCCTAAAATCTTGGTCTATTAGCATATTTGTAACACTTGGTATATTTGCAACTATCATTGTGTCAAAGGATAACCAGGTTTTGAAAATAATATAGGGTCTTTACTATTATTCATTATACCATTCTACAGAAAAGTTAACATAACCAACATGTTGTTTCATGAAAATATAATGCTATGTATTTCCTAAATGTTCCACCAGAGGGACCTCTCAACTTCTCATAAATAAAAGCTTTCAATATCAAAAATGATGCAAATAAAGCTCAAGAAAAGAACCAGGGGACTTAGAAATGAGTATTTAAATTATTTAATAATTAAGTTGACTTAAATGTCCTTTGAGGGACATAACAAGATAAATAAAAGGATAATTGAATGTAAATAATCAAATTCAAGAAAACAAAAATATTTTATTGAGGCTTTTCACTAATTTTACTCCATCAAATATGTATAATACATACTGTGTTTAAAATGCACTAGAAGCTGGAGAAAAACTAGCTTAAAACAATGTGTACAATTCCTGTTCTACATATTCTTCGATTTATTTACTCCTAAATCCACAAACTTAACTGTGTTGCAAGTGAAACCACACTATAAATGTATGAAGGTCTCTTTCTATAAGCAGAAAGCCTACTATATACATATTATCATTGTTTGATACAAACTTTCTAGGGAGTCTCTTCCATATTTATGACAGAACTTGGATAAAATAAACAATCTGGGCTAGATTGTGCTAAAACAACCATTGGAAATATTTTGAACATATATTAAAAGCATTTTTAAAAAGCTCTAGACAGAGTGCTTTCATAATACTGAAAAATGACAAACCAAACAATACAATCACATATTATCCAATGAGAAAAGTTTTCAAAAAACTGTTCAATGACAGATGGAAATGTACTTAATAATTTTAAGGGGAAATAAATATTTATACTGTAAAATACTTAAATATTAATTTAAAAAAATATTTTAAAAGACTGTAGAAAAATGGGCCAAAATACTATCAGTGCTTATCCTTAGTGAATTTGAAACTTATTTTTTTCTTTTATTTTCCATGTGAATTACAATCATAAGCAATATTTAATTTTACTTTGGAAAATGTAAGCATTATTTTTAATGTACTTATATATTTATCTAGACTTTGTTCACAAAAATCCTAATTATTATTTCTTTTTTTGTAAGGGAAGAGGAGAGTCCAAAACTACACCTATGGTAATGACAAGCCATAACAAGTTTTATAACATTTGAAAACCTGAAAATGAGACTCCAAAAGGCAAATGTTAACACAAATACACATACATAAATCTAGATGTAGTTAAGTGTGGTGACACGTGCCTGTAATCCCAACAATATGGGAGACTGAGGTAGGAAAATTCAAGGCCAAGTTCAAGGCCAGCCTGAAAATAAAAGGTCTGAGGATGTAGTTCAATGTCAGAGCAATTGCCTAGATTGTGCAAGGCCCTGGATTCAATCCCCAGTATTGCAGAA